AACTTGGCAAACAAGTTTTTTACCTGAATTACTCAACTATGATACTTTTACCAACAGTACTAATTTATTAATACTCATTCTCATTTTTTTCTTCACTTTTAGTTATACTTGGAGTCTCAGTTGTAGTTGTATCAGATGAAGGTGTAGAAATTGTAGAAGTTACAGTTGAAGTCGTAGAAGTGCTGCCAGAACAACTGTTACACGTAAGTTGACATTTTTCTCTGGCAATGTCCCCGTAAATATCTGTTCTATTACAATTTTTCTTCAGAATATTACACCGTTCAACGGATTCACTGTTTTTACATTGTCCCACATTGTTACATGTATCGCACGATTTTCTGCATCCATAGTTTGTGATGTTAGCGTACTGTGGATCACTGCGGTTACACATTCCAAGTATTTTCAGTGTATCACATAGTTCATTGTCTTCTGAAAAAAAAAAAAGATAACGAAAGAAAAATTAATCAGAGCAGAATTTTTAAACACTGTTCAAAGGTATGTTTAAAAAAACAAAAAAATTTTATTTAATTAACTTTAACCTATATTACTGCAATTATATTTTGGATCGTAGCAGCATAAATGACAAGTTCTGAGACAAAGTTTTGCAAACTGTTCTTCTTCTTTATCTCTACAGTATCGTCGTCCTGGTACTCTAAAGTATTTTAATAGAATACTTTTTCCCTTTCTTAGTTGATGTAACTTTATCTATATAAAAGTTATTAAAAGAAAAACTTGAGCAAAATCTAGAAAAGAATAGAAAAACAAAAAAAACAAAAAAAGAAAACGACATTTTTGATTGCCTATTTCAGTACGACATTATTCAACAGTGTATTAATTAAAAAAGTTCAGCTTTTGTTTTGCCTTATATGTTTATCAATTGGATCAGTTTATAACAGAACTATTTGTTACAAATGAAGACTATCATTCTGTTCAAAATTACTTTCCTAAAAAATTTATAAGGTAATTTATGTCTATATAGGCATATATAAAGATGTATTTTTTGATGCATAAGTTCAAACATATAGAGTTTTTTCTTTTCTGAAGACGATATTTTAGGTATTTTAACTTTTCTAAACTATTTAAAAATTATTAAAATTGACGAACAGGATTAGTGCTAATATAAATCTTACCCTTTTATTGGGGAATAAAAGT